CCCTGGCGTCCGTGATTCTTGATTCGTAATTCGTGATCTGTGCGTACTTCAACTACTGTGAAACTACACCGTGAATGTGAACGGTTGGCGGTTACATATCAATGCAGGTTCACTGTCGTATGCTTGCCTCAGATGAAACATCAGGAATTCCTCCGCACAGCCCCTCTGTGTGCCCCGAAACCATGCGTGTATGCCCTTCTGCTGCTATGGCTCTCCACCACATCATGAGTATTCTCGACACGCGGCCGAACGAACAAATTGTGTGGTCATAGCGATTCCAATATCTGATCCAAGGATGAAATTGACTTCGAATACTCTGTATTATCAATTTTTACTTTCCAGCTAAAGTTTATGTTTGACCACTGCTAGATGTATTGCGATGCATTGGCATGATAATGCATCACTACAGTACGTTGTTTAAAAAACAAAGCAACCGGGTAACTTTCATTATTGGATAATCGGTATTACTTTGAATGTGATCAGCTAAATACTCTTTTTTCTAGGATTGAAACATCAGTAGATGACGAATTAAATGTGGTGATTGTGCAACGAGTATACAACGGTACAACTTCCAGTCAGGAGACGGATTTCTCAACCAATCGGATTGATTGAATGCAAAGAAACGACAAACGGATTATATCATTGTCGATAGGAAATCTGAATCGGTCAATCATTGTTTGACTCTTTATATTTATTTGTATAATTCTCTGAATATGGTTAAACGCTTTCATAGCTCGTCCTAGTTCTACTTGCCTCTGCACTAATCAACGGTTTTTCAGTCGAGGTCGGAGTTCGCGCTGTTCCAATTCGATTGTTATTCCGAGTACCACAGTTACGTTGACAGAATTCGCAGCTCGGTTAAATTCACTTTCTGAATAGTATCCACCACACCAAAGGTGTCCGATAGCGTACGCCTTATCAGTTCAGTCCCCATTGGTTCCACATTGTTGTAGCAGCACACTAGTTTCATAAGGCAGGAGTATCGGATAGACAAACATGATGAACAGCGATATACGTGCAACCATTTGTTACCATAAAATCTGGCACAGTTGTCCATACAGAAATCAACAGAAATCCATTGGAAATCAGCCGTACTGTTGTGTAGGCTTTTATTAGAAGCATTTAGTTCACAAAATATCATCGTTGAATCAAACTGGTGGTTCTTCGAACACAGGGTGCTTCGAACTAACTCCATGAGTTACAAATGAGGACTTTAAATGACAATATCTAAAAGCGGGGAACAGTCGAGTTAGATGACTGTCATAGTAGTTGAATTGATGATTCTATATGGCAACTGTTCGGTCATGAGTTCAGTAAGAAATGGCCGAACTGAAGCATTGAGGATTTGAAGTTCATGGGACTGTAGTTTCAGCTCAGCGATCGCAGGGACTGGCGCCTGTATAATTATCGTCCTCAGCATCATTGTACAGCGTAATACAGTGAAGCGAACTTCACTGATCGCTGTCAAACTCATAATGCATACGAGATAAGTGAAAATGTGTAAGGAAGACAGGGATTGGGCCTGTTTTTAGGGACGGGAAAAGAAGGCAAACATCTATGGTCAACACACAGAGTTCACAGCCCAACTGTGCATACATGCAATTTCAAGCATTCTGGTCTGATAAGAAGTTACAGCATGATCACCATTGCTGTCGGATTGCAGCCATGACCTTGAGTGTCTCCAACTATGCGGTTTCGGAATCTTTTGGACCCTAACCCGGAAGACGTGAGACCCCTACTCTACTTAATCGCTCTGTGCATTTCTTCATGCTTCGTCTCCACGTCCTCTGCTGGCCTCCACGTGGCTTTCTCCCGCCTGTAACAGCCACTGCAAACAAGGCGCGTTGCGGTAGGCAACCGTCACACAAACGCAAAACGTGTCCTAACCAACGGAGTCTACTGAGCTGGATTCAATGAGATAGCGAGTTCTTGTCTGATGTATTCCCAAACACCCGACGACTTACATCTAAGTTACTAACCCGATCACTCCGTCCCACTTGGGCCAGACTTCATAAGCATCGGCTGTCGAACACTGCTAAACGACGGGTGTTTTCTACCCGTAAATTCAAGGTCTCACAACTGTAAAGCAGAACTGATCGTACAGTGGCGATCTTTCAACTTTAATGACACGTCACGTCGCCGCCACAGGTGTTTTAGTCCTGCGTACGCTGCTCGANTACACATTTCTTTATGCCTCGTCTCCACGTCATCTTCTGGCTTCCACGTGGCATTCTCCAGCCTATAACAGCCACTGCAAACAAAACGCGCTGCGGTAGGCGACTGTCGGACATACACCAAACGTGTCCTAACCAACGGAGCCTACTGAGCTGGATTCGACGAGATAGTGAGTTTTTGTTTGATGTATTCCCAAACACCCGACGACTTTGAGTTACTAACTCGCTCAATTCATCCCACTTGGGCCAGACTACGTAAGCATCAACTGTCGAACACTGCTAAACGACGGGTATCTTCTACCTGCAAATTCGAGGTCTCACAACCGTAAAGTAGAACTGATTGTACGGTGGCGCAGTATACGCTACTTTTCAACTTGAGTGATACGTCACGTCGCCGCCACAGGTGTCAAAGTCCCACGTACGCTGATCGAGCCTTGAAAATGCGGGCGGTTATCTCCTTTGATGCGCTACCGTCGTTGGTCACGCAATAAACTTCAGCTAATTCCTGACCGTCTAGTTTCAGAACAGAACGCGGCAACACCCAGTCTTGTAGCATCACTTTACACTTTGAAGGTGCAAAACACATGCCGAACGGAGCGACAGAACTTGATAATCTGTTAAGTGCTCTTTGCGCATCCTCCGAAACCGGCGCACGAAAGTGCACGATTACTGGTTGTAAGAACTGAACTGAACCGATACATTCGAACAAGTAAACGATGTCGTCAGCGTACTCCGAATCGCACAGCTTTTCTCCAGCTGCCCATTCAATACCTACATTTTGGGGATCACTTAGTGTGTTCTCCAGTATTTCGTCTATGACGAAATTGAACAGTAATGGTGAAAGAGGGCACCCTTGACGAAAAACGCTGATAGTTACGAACGACCTACTCAACTCGCCGTAGACCCGTACCAGAAGTATGTGAGTAGATTGAACTCAGTATATTCACATACTTCTGCGGCATTCCTTTGCGAAGGAGTGAACCCATAAGAGATTCACGATTAACTGAGTCGAAGGCTCCTTTTAGGTCAAGGGACACGACAACCGTTGGTCGACGGTGCGTATGGCGTAGCTCGAGGACTTGACTGAAACTGAGGACTTGACGCAGAGTGAAGATTTGGTCGATACAACCGCGACCTGGTCNCGCAGGGTGAAGATTTGATCGATACAACCGCAACCTGGTCGAAATCCTGCTTGTTGTTTGCGGATATTTGTCTCTCTAAACGGTATCAGACGTCGAAGTATAATAAAGGCTAATAACTTGGTGACGATTGGGATCAAACTTATTCCAGAGTGGTTTGCGCAGTCATTGCGAGATCCCTTCTTCAAAATTGGAACGATCAATGATTCGCCCCGGGATGATGGAATGCGCTCGTATAACCAGATGTTACTCATTAAATCAGTAATGGAGTCTACAAGGTCATCGCTCCCATCTTGAAAAGAGTGGGAGGAAGCCCGTCTGACCCTGCTGCTTTTCCTTTCTTCAGGGCCTGGATGCGAGAACGAACTTCTCCTGCGGTAGGAGGTTCAGATGACACTGCCCATGGAGCCTCAGCTATATCAGAGATGGCGCTTATATGACTGCAAAACATTTTTAGAATCTGATGAAGAACAGTTGAGAGGAATAAACATGAACCACGAAGAAAGGTGTAGCAAGACAAAACACGGAAAGAAAAAAGGTTTTAGTTATGGTTAAACATTTTCTACCGTTAATGGATGGTGATTATAGCTTAAAGTCCCGTTCGTCTGTGTAACTAAACACAAACTGCTTGAACATGTGCAAAGCTGCCCATACGTATATAGGATGGTTTCGGAGTTCGAAGTCACACTGCTGTTTTTAAACATTCTTGACTCAACTCTATCGGTTCTGCTGTAATGATAGACCAATAAATTTAGATTGACACAGACATTACCGATTCTTACATGAAATCTACCTTATTGTCCCGATAACCAACAATTCATGTACAAAATTTCATATAAAATGGCGGTTTTCTATGATTCTTAGGGTTTACCATATTTATGTCGTTTGCCAGAAGTCAGCTGATCATGGCAATGAATCGATCCACGGCGATTCATACACATGATCAATAGTAGTATGTCTGATCTGGTTTGGTCTTACCCAAGCTTGGGAATGTGTTATGGAATCCAACTTTGTGCAACAAGCCAACACTGATATATTTGAGGGCTATNATCTGCGTAGACGGCGCAACGTACCACTGGCCGTGCTCATTGAGCAGGGGATCGTTGAATGCTATCGTGCAACCCATTTCAATAGCTACTTGCTACAAAATTATTTTGACGAACTGAGTATCAATTACACACGATCCGAGTTTCGTCTCATGCTCAAATTTATAATAATTGTCAATTTATGTCTGACTTATAACAGACTAACCCAAAATGGCAAGATGGAACATGGTGAACTACTGTCAGTGTGTGTCGTAATCACGGTTGTTGTAATCATATATATGTACAGCTTTCGTATGAACAGGCACACATCCTTTACAAAAATATCATTTTTCTTCGTGGTAGCCAGTTCACTTTTCGCATTGTTTGTCTCGCACAGTTCGACAGACGTGCCCCTGACGCATTTACCCATGCTACTCTCCATAATCATACCGCAGACTTTTGATATTCAAGGGACAATTGTGCTTATGTACTGTTTACTAAGTGAAACCCTCGATTGTATTTATTACAACCGATGGTATGTGCCTGACAGTCCAGAATTGCATCATTTAACTGCGTCCGAAACTGATCTGCATAGAAATTCTTGGGCAAGAACTATTCATAGCGTGAAAAGGCTTCTTATATGGTGTAGTCTGTTTATTGTGATGTTTCACGTAGGCTTCTGGCATCAGTTACGAAGGCGTCTAGCATTCTTACGTATGGGTCAAAGTTTACATGCTCAGGACGAAATTAAACGTTCTATGACCGGTCAGCTACAGTGGATTGATGCCATCATGCCATCCCTAGTGAGCAGGGAATATATTGTAATACGGAAGAAAAACAAGGGTGAATCCAGTGAAATGTGGATCTATTCCAAGCCCGTGGATAACGTGAGCATTCTGTTCGCTGACATTGTCGGTTTTACTCGAATGAGCTCCTCCAAAACCGCACAACAAGTGGTCTACTTACTGAACGATTTGTACAACTGTTTCGATGATTTGTGCGAAGTAACGCATTGTGAGAAAATTGCTACCCTGGGCGACTGTTACTATTGTGTTTCCGGTTGTCCGCTGCCCCGAGCAGATCACGCCGAATGCTGTATTGAGATGGGTTTGGGCATGTGTCGAATCATAAAGCGCTTCAATTATGTCCACAATGAGGATGTGAATATGCGAGTGGGAATACATACCGGAAAAGTGAACGCTGCTATCATTGGACAAATACGATTCCGATACGATGTATACTCNGATTGCGAATTCAATGGAGAGTAGCGGCCTGCCTGGACGGGTTCATATTTCAGAAACCACATATCAGCTGGTCAAGCATATCTATCAGGTTGCCCCAGGTGACCCATTGGAAGTGAAGACAGAGCAAATTGCCGGGATTGCTGGAATGATGCTGAAAACTACGGAAATCAATACCTATTTTGTTGATCCAAAATCATCGCAGCTCTATCGACCTGGAGAAAAATATGGCCAACTACATGTAAAGATCAAAGGTGGAGGCGTGCAACCAGAAGGAATGCATGCTACTAGGAAACGGATGCAAACATTGGACACGATGCTTCATTCAATGGCGAACTCCAAATTTCAAACACCCCCTGTAACTCTATGGACAACACTGTACGGAAAGGTAGGATTGTCGAGTAACCCTCGGTGGTCCAGAAAAGAGCAGAAAACACAGATGCATGAGAAGATTGTAACGGAAAAAGCGATGAAGGTTCATCATAAAAGACATAGGGACATTCTGAATTTCATTAACGACTTACGTAACGATCCAGAGAATAGAGTTCGACCTATTCAAGAAATGCCATTAGAACTTGTGACCCAATGTTTTCTCGTTCGATCTCAAGAAAAATCGTACCAATATGCATTTCGAGCCACCGGTGAGCCAGTGTATCTTGATTCACTAGAATATGTTGTCCTACTCGACATGATATGCTTATGTATGATGATTGGGATCGGTCAACTGCTCATGTGCTTGCACCTAACAGGTTTGAGTAATATGAAAATACGTATTGCCATGTTATTTATCCTAAGCATATTGTTTACAATGGTCATGCTGGCTTGGTCATGGTGGACTGCAACAGGTCAGGAAACTGTCCCCAACTCGAATCGATTAAGGCGAATTTGGNTTTGGTTATTTTTGTCGCATCCAGCCTCGAGAGAGCTCATTTTCATGTTTACTGCATCCATCCCATGCGCTCAGACAATCCTTATAGCGCTTTGGGAATCTAAACAGTCCCACTCTTCGAACTGGTCACAAAGTTTTATAGCGCTCCTTTCCGATCTGTCATTGACTATTCATGTGGTTCCATTGTCTTCTCATCCGCTAGTACGTCTCCTCAATTGCATTCTTTGCGTCATCGCTATCGATCGAACTCAGGTCTATATTCACAATTCTGTAACTTCTATTTGCATTGAGGGTGAAACAGAACTGAAACAGTTCAACTACAGACTATTCACAGTTCATGGGATTGTGGGCTGCATGTTGTTATATTCACTTTGTCGCTTGAATCAACATGGCTGTCGACTCTGTTTCTACGTGTCCGGTCAAGCTAAAACATGTCGTCTTAAGGCCAAACAAGCCCAAGAGGAAGCACAAGACCTGTTGTACAATATTATCCCAAAATATGTACTAGAACGTATGATTATGGAGCATCACCAGTCAGGCATAGGTTCCACATATGCAGTATCTATGCCTAATATAGGAATTGCTTTTGCCTGTATCTCGAACTTCTTTTCCACCTATTATCGTGAAGACTATAAGGGTGGAGAGGCAGCATTGAAATTACTGAACGCAATCATTTGCTCGTTTGATCGATTACTCAGTCGACCATTATTTTCCGCGGTGGAGAAAATCAAAACGATCAACGATTGCTACATGCTAGCCTCAGGACTGAAACAGGCTGAGACCAATCCGGACCCGGACAGTCGAGCACATCTGGTCTCATTGATGGATTTCTGTTTTATGCTTTTAGACACACTGAATGAGTTCAACGCGAACTACATCATCGGACCGCAACAATTTGTCCTCAAAGTGGGCTACAATATCGGTCCGGTGACAGCTGGTGTGATTGGGACAAAAAAGCCCATGTACGATGTGTGGGGTGACACGGTAAATGTGGCCAGCAGAATGTATTCGACCGGAAAACCTGGCATAGTTCAGGTCCCGGTCAGTGTACGCGACATGCTGAGATGCCATTACGATTTTCAACAAATCGGTGAAACATTTGTAAAAGGCAAAGGAATGATGGAAACATTTTCTTGTACCCAGCGAAAGTATATGTGACACAAGAGTCATGCATGAGGCCATGTCAATCTTGCTGTGATACACACGAACATCTACGATTTGCTAATTGTCTAGGATAACTCGGTGAACTTTCCACTGATGCCACGCAATCGAACAGCTATGAGTAAAGAAATAAAAAGCAAATAATCGAATCGCGCACGCTCCCTCGCTTGGACGTCGAATCATGCTTTCATGGACTAGTATCTGTGTATGCGATTGAGCCTTGCATTTAAAACATGACTTTCGTGATCTGGTTAAGCAATAATACGTGCAAAAGAATACAATACTTTGCTATATATTGGTGCTCGTGAACTCACAAAAAATTGCAACGGTTGGGTTCCAATAAATTGACAGGTGGAAATATACATTTAAATGTAGTTTGAATCAACGCTAAAATATGCGCAAGCACTTTTTTAGGTTTATATGTCAGTTCCAAACAAATGTTGAGGAATTTGGACAGTGCAGTTTGCACATATAGCAAAGGTCCTTACAAATGAATCGCCTTACGTGCCCAGTAACTCACTGTTGTCTTCTCGGTCTCGTTTGTTGTCATTGAGAAGATTTGCATCAAGCAGTTCAGTGCTAAACAAGGGATGATCCTCAACGTCCCATGGCAGGCACTGAATGACGCCATGCCCTGCGGTGTGAACGCGAAACCAACCGTTGGAGACAGTGCACTGGTTTTTACATGAAAAGTATGGATTACGCTATGACGAACAAAGTCCCATCCTGGAAAGACCTAATGTACAAGAATTGATGGTGAACCAGTTCAACACTATTTCCGTAAGTCCATGCTCACGGACATGAAAGTTACTGGGAAAAAAAGTTGTGGGAAAAGGGAGTTCTCGAGAAAACACATGAACTACGAACAGAATTGTGGTGGTTGAGGAAATTCGCTTGTTTTAGTAATGCCTTGTTCTCAATTTGAAAATTTGGCGAATAAATGAAGGAACAGTAGCAGAACGTGGACAAGAGTTCTTGTGAACAGAAGACGTCATAAAGAGTAAGAGCAAAGCAACAGTCAGACGATGAACTAGTGACTACTTTGAGTAAGCAAGCACTAAATAACATATCCGACAAGTAGCCTTATATTCAACAGGATAAAAAAGTAACTAGAAAGTGAACAAGGCTCACTCCAAATATGACTGCAATACTCAGGAACAGCAAAGCATTGGAGCCTTGTTTGGGAATAAAAGATAGGAAAACGCCAGTATTTTTTAACACAAATGAAGCAAATATTATTGCCTATTTCGATAGAATAGGGGGAAGGAACAAGAAGAACTGAATGGAAGCAGACAGAAAAGGAAGTTTCGATATATAGAAAGTGGTATACATAAACAAACCTCAGACTGTTATCCAGATGAGATTGGAGTTAATTGGTGCGCATGTGTCTGATCGATAGCGAGAAGTCGGGTCTGACAAAGTGTTGGGGATAAAAAAACGAGGGACAATGCCATCGGGAAAGGTACGGATGGGATTAGAAGTTTAAGATAAAAGGTCGCATCGAAAAAAATAACGTGAAGAGAAAGAAAACCAGCGGAGGCAACCCTCTGCAATTTGGATCACGAGGAAGCGGTTACTCAGGGAACCAAAGACCCTCAAAGTAAATCACCACGGGAATCATAAGCGGAAATCTGGAAATATCATATACAACTTAACGTATGGGATTCATACTTTCCAGTTCCAGGAATTCCAATTAGAACATCAGTGTACCATTGGTAACTTATCTCACGGATCAGGTAGCTGTTTTCAACAACACTTTTATTATACCATATCTTAGGATCGTGGACCACTCGACAAACATACCAGAGATCCGTCAGGTGTGGATAACTTGTCTGTGCTCAACTGCGATATTTCCCCTTGTGCGGGTGAGTCAAACACATCATTATCTCTAACAGGATTTTAAATAAGGTGCAGCCCAATATATCCGGGTCTCGACCGTCAGTTTTCCTAATTAGTTACAGCAATAATCGGAGCAAGTGGTGGGCTTCCATTGATTAGATTGGTTGGGGCGTGTTACATATGTCATCAAATAGGTTTCCACGGCGCGCGATGTTTACCAAGCCAGGTAGTGGGTGGGAAAAAGTCAAAGGTTGCCAAATTAAGACCTGGCACGAGGGTAGGATAACCGTAAGCAGGGGACTGGGTCACATAGGTCCCGTCAGGATCCCAGCCTGGGGAATTCAGTATGACCGTAACCGGTGGTGATACGGCTGAGTGTCTTAAACAATGGTGTTCGTGCATCTTCTCAATTTCTTTGCAACCTCAGTTTACTGAAATTCTCCATTTTCACTTCCACTTTCCTATCTTTCTGCCACTGTTCACCCAAATAGGCAGCCAAAAGACAACAACCAAAGCCGACGCACGGAATTGTATATTTATCGGTTGTACAAACCGAAACTGAATATATATATATATATATACCCCTGACTGTATTATCCCATTTATCCACACACGCATACAAACACAGACATTACTAACGCGTATTCCATTTCCTTGAACTATATGATTTTGTAACCTATAAAAGAGTGCTGTATTT